AAAATGGATACAATGTGGTTATAAGGGACAGACATGGTCAACAATAGAACTCAGACAGGCTGTGGTGTTTAAATGATGCTCAGTTTGATACTAAGAGGACCAAAGAGGGACAAGAAAATATCTTTCTCGTCATTAAAACCAGTCTGAACTGTTACAAGGCAGGATGGATCCATGCTTTCATGTTGTTTATACCAAATTGTGGTTCTATCATCCAAATGTTGGAGCAGAAATCGAGACTCATTAGACCAGGCAACCTTTTTTCCCAATCTTCGTGAGCCTGTGCGAACTGCTGCTGTAGACCATCTGCCTCAAGGTTTGACATATTATGTCTTCAGAAATGCTCTTCTGCATACATTGGCTGTAACCAGTGGTTATTTGAGTTTGTGTTGTATTTCTGTCAGCTGGAAATAGTCTGGCCATTCTCATCTGACCAATGGCATCAACAAGACAATGCATTTTGACCAGGACAATTCCAGTAGATCAACAGTTTCTGGTATACACAATCTAGGGCTGTTCTAATAATACCAGCATAATTTTTTATGTGTTTTTTTTTTTTTAAAGTGTCATATCATGATATCATTACTATAGCAGCATCCTACACTTATCTTCCGTATTGCACACAATAATGAGGCACACTCAGACATGTCCGACAGGCTGATGACGATTTGGTAACAGCTGAGGTCATTGAAAAAACCCCAACAGAGCACAGTACCTTAAAATTATTTGTGCGAAAGCCGGAAACGACAAACTTGTTTCACTACTTGAGCCAAAAAACACAGAGTACGACCAGGCTATCAGCTGGTGATGTATGACCGAAATGTAAACAAATGACTCACCCAAGCATCGTTGGAGCACTCGCTAGATATACTTCTTACAACAGGAAGAGCAAACGGTGGCTGGTAATCACTGATGCAGTTACATATTGTTTAGCCAAGTAAATGACAGCAATTCAAATGGTGGAAAGGGAGGAAGGAGGAAGACATTTTTCATTTTTTATTATGTGGCAATACTGTGCAGGCTGCTGATGAACGACAAGTTACCTCAACTTAGATATTATCAAACTAAAGTGTAGAGCAGTCATATTATACTTAATACTTCTAGTGAAAATGCTACCTAGGCTAATTTTGTGCTTACATTTGAGTTGTACTGTGTCACTACTATTGTACTATAGTGCTGCTGCTGGCAGCTTGTTTTAATAGATCCACACTTTAAATTCGATAGTCTGTTATCGTTGACAGCAAGTCATTGGTAAAGAAGAACTGAAAATGCCCTTTAGGTTATTTGTACTAGTAAGTGCTACTACCTGCAAGCTACAGTCACCACTATAACACTCTTCAGTAATTTCTTTTTTTTCTCAGTATCCACTGAGATTAATTAAATTTTTATGCTCATCTTATTCTTAAAATAAAAGTTGTTTCTTATAAGAGAACCAGATACTATTTTGCTGTAAGTCCACTGTGCATCCAGTGAAAAAATTAACACAGTACCCTCTGATTTATTTATTTATTTATTTTAAAGGGGAAAAAAAGTGTTGAAAAAATAGTGAATTATGAAAACAAATCAGAAAATGAGCTGTTCTGCTTGTGGCAGAGTTCCACTCATGTTTCATGTTGGGACATTATCTTATTTTCTCCTGTAAGCCAATTTGTTGCTTCTAGTCTTCCAAAAGCAATAAATGAGTAACTACAGACTGCTGTCTTTTGATCTTGCAAGACCAGAAGAGTCTCGTCATTAAAATATCAACATAAATCAAAAATCATCCAAGCTGTGCAAGCCACTCATCAATCCATCTGCTATACTGGGATCCAGGCTTTGACAATCTACTGTAATGCCATCATGCAGACCCTTTCCAGACAGTTGAAGCAGTAAGGCCAGTAAAGCAACATCTCCTTCCACTCCCTGGTGGCATCCAGTCGCTGATACCCTCATTTGTAACTTTTTCCATAAAGACTAGCTGACTGCGGCTTTTGCTATTGCTATGTACTTAGCTACTGTTTGATTTTTAAAGATAACAAAATTAAAAACTGAAAAGTAAATTTGTTCAGAATAGCATTAAAAAATTAAATTGATATAGAATAGTTACTGAGAGAGGCCATCCACCATTCCTGATTATATCTACACCAACTTCCATATGATCCTGAACTACAGTAGTTGGTTCATACTAGGCCATGTAATAGGCTATAACAGAGTTGTCTGTTAAAATGCAGTTGTTTGTTTCTACATCAAGTTATTTATGTTTGACTCAAGCTCACAGGTAATTGTTTTTAGCCAAGGTTTGCTAGAGACTTCTTCTGTCATTCCCCATGGAAGTCATTTAGAAGGAGGGGTTGATTTGGCATCTAGCCATTTGTGATTTTTCTCTCCAGTGACACAAAATTACCCACCCCCACCCCCAATCTCCTCCCTCACTTCCCACCCGCTGGATCCTCCTGAGTACCCCGGAGACATACTACTCTCCTTTGGGCTGTGTTTGTTCTCCCCACTTAGCCTGCTAGCACTCGGTGTTGCTATTTAATTTGTATCCATGACAATTATCCCCTCCACATGCTGCTTCCAAGATTAGGTTAACCGAGCTTGCGTTGACGGGATGCTGACACTGGCAGATATTTACATACTGTGTGTACAAGCAAGGTATGAGTTGGTGTGTCTGTGCGTATGAGTTGGCACACAACGCCTGTTTGTAAATGTACACGTGGTTGTCTGTTTGCTGACATGGCGCATACAGTGAAAAATAAGAAAGGTGGAACTTTCTTTGTTAGAAAAGTGTGTTGATACTAAGGACTTCTTTAAAAGCTAACATTACACATATTATGATCGTTCACAGACAATCACCTTAAAGGGCTAGAGGTGAGAATTTTAGTCACAGTTAAACTGAGTAATCCAAAACCTGGTCCAGCGTGGTTGTAGGGGAGATGGTTAGGTGTACAGATCTGAGAGGCTATATTGATAAATAAATGCATTTCTTGGATGTCTGTTTTATTAAACAGCCCTCTTCAGATCTTGCCAAAGCACATTGGTTGGGTTAAGACTCTTTTTTTTGCTGTTGTTAAAAAAATCATACATTTTATTTTTCAACTATTCTGTTGTGTATTTATCTGTATGCTCTAGGTCAATGTCTGTTTCACTATCCAGCTGCTCCCCAAGCTTCAGGTTATTGTCTGCTACAATAATATAATGTAATTTCTTTCTTTTTTAATTGCCTCAACACTTCCAGGATGTCAGTCCCCGAGGTTGCAGAGCAGTCTCAAACTTTCCATGTTTCACAGTGACCTTTTTAAAATTTGAGATGTGTATTTTATTTATTTTTAAAATTTCTGCCGTTTCATTAATTTATTTCCTGTAGAGATTTCTGCTGGTGTTTTACTTATTCTCTTGACCTCATGTTCAACTGCTTCAGCATTATTGGACTCGGTGTGATTGGGGTATCTTTGCAGAACACCCTCTTCTCAAAAATTATCGCTAATCCTAAACTAGTTGTACACAATTTAAGAACATGCTGGCCTTAAAGGTACAGTAAGTTGGTTTTTTGTTTGTTTGTTTTTTTTAAATTTGATCTTTTTTCTTTTCTTTGTTTAGATTTAATAGAAAAAATTGTGAGCATCAACTTGTGGAAGCCACCATGTTACTTGACTACCTTGAATACAGTGGCCAAGATGGTCATTATCCTTCTGTCTAATTGGGTTTTATGTATGTGGATAGAGACCAGCCCACTTACAAGTTAGTTTTAATTTAAAGATCACAAATAGCTCTTTCAAACTCTATATGACTATTTAACATTTGTACATGAATGCTTTCGTCATGTCTTTCTCATTGTGTCTTTCTCTTCCTTAACTACTGCTCTGTCTTCTCCCTCATCTCTACCTCATCCTCTTCCTCCTCACCTCAAGCCTCATCTCCTGAGCTGAAGTCAGGGCTCTAACACAAGAAAAGGTGCATGCATACATATGAACATTTATTCCAGATATTGTTGCAGTTAGTTATTGTGAGTAGCAAACTGAACAACAAACTAGCTAAACGGCAACAGCTGGTTGTTGCATTTTGCAGCACTGACCATGAATGGTTGCTTAGTATGACTGTCATACCATAGTGTATGACTAATTCATGCAGAAATCCAGGTAATTCCAAAGCTTTACAAACTCTTTCTTTGAGTTCCCCCAAACCAGTAAGTGTAGATTAGCTTTTCTTTAACCAAATTCATCTTATGACAGCCAGCAACCATTCACTAACCAGTTTGGGGTAATGCGGATTTCTTCCCTACTAACTGGTGGTTTCCAGGGGGTTACCAGCTAGTCTCTATACTGGTGTGACTGAGGGCTATTTATACTTGCTGTTGTTGCGCTCCTCTTGCTGAAAGTGATGTCACAATGGCTGGTGTGAGACACTTTTTGGTGTCGTTTCAGTTTGCTGTGCACCTCATGTGTCTTTTCTAACCTTGTGTTGGTCATGCAGCTGGTTTGAAGACACAGCTTATGCAGAGTTGAATGTTGCAATAGTGTGAAAAGATGAAACTTTCAGGAGGACAAATTGATTTCTTTGCTTCCTCTACATGTTTTGTCTCCTACTATATGAGGAGGTTTTGTCTGAGTGGCAGCACCTATCGTTCAGCAAGTCTGACATGACATCGGAAACAGTAAAACGGTGGCTGTGATGACGTCACTGTGATGCTACCATTGTGGTTACCACCATTGTGGTTACCATAAATAGGCCAATAGCGCCATCATCACTGAATCGCCCATTTATTTTCATTGCCTCTATGTTTTACCAGAGTTTCTTCTTGCAGCTGTAACACGAATATGTATGAAACACCCCACCAGTACCACCCTTTTGCCTTACCCATGACTTCAATGCCTCCATTAAAAATCAGTGAAAGCCATGACGATATTTAATTAATTCATGACTAAACCACCACTCCCCCGTCTCGAGGTGAAGTTGTGTAGTTTTAATGTCTTATTTCTTTTCATTTCCTCTGTTTCTTTGTTTGTATGTTTTTCTTACTCCAGGGGTCGCACCAGAGGGAGAGTTGTTGTGGATGAGGAGGACAGCATGGATGGGACTGAGATAACAGAGTCCATAGACCCTCAGGACACAGGTGAGACTTTGTTTTTGAACTTTTATATACACATTGGTTTTACTGAGAGTGATATATGACTTGAACCTGCACCCCAAGTAGCCTTATGCAGTGCTTTGAAGGGTATGTTAGTAAAGGTAGATGAGTCTCCTTCTCCTGGAGAAGGATGGATGAGAGCTTTTTCTTAGCACCCAGTGCCTTTTTTTCAGGGCTATAATTGAATGGGTTTAGCTTGAGCTGTGAAGCTGTAGTGGGTGTGTATTTTTTCTTCTCCCCTTACTGCTTCCATCTCTCCTCTTGCTCTGAGATTGGCATTGAGGTGCAGAGGGAAAGAGCCCAAGGCTAATGCCCTCTAAAAGCTTTTTAAAATCCCATCAGTCTCTCCAGACCCATTTATGTGCCTTTTTTATGTGTGTACATCACATCATGTGACCATGCCTCCCATTCTGATACATTTCAGTGCCGCCCTGTTGCTGAGCTGAAGATAGTTGGAAATGTGACGCTGTCAATGACTTGCCGTTCTTCTGGTATCATTTACCTTAGAACAAACAAAGGCAATATTTCAGAGTTTAAAACCCTTCAACATTTTTTTTTTGTAAATGATGTTATGAAATAACCAAGCATTCACTTTGCCTTTTCAGTCTACCGCCATATGCACTTAAAACTCAGTGGTTTCTTCAGTGGCTCTCTGCCTCTGGGCTTTTGGCAAAATGAAATTTGTGACTCTGTGCAGTCTTGTCCTTAAAGTGATATGTGCTGAGGTCAAGCACAGTATATTATAGCCTTTTAAATGCATTGTTTATTTTGTCTGTCTCTAAATTGTTATACTTAGAGGTCACATAGCTCACATTTTCAATATACATTACCATTAAAACAGTGTGATTGCATCTAGGGAATGTGTAGAGAAATTAACGACTGATAAAGTGATAAGCCATGGCGTTATCAGTTTTGATTATGGTACTTTAGAGATTATAATGTTTCTTCTTTTTCTTTTTTTCATTCCAATCCCCCAAAAGCGACCCCTCTCTCCCAGATAGTGTGGTAGAGGCATGGAAAGCCGCAGTACTGAGCAGAACATCCTTACTCTTGGTGACAATGGCAGCAATTTAATTTAAATTTGCTTTAAATTTCCCCCAATTCAATGCTACCAGGGCTGGTTTCCGCAAGTTTGTGTTTTGAATACCCAGGTGGAAATGTGTAGTCTGTCAGTGTAGTTTTTGAATGCAAAGTTTGCTCCTAATTTTACTCACCCTTTGGTGTATTATGTATACTAGCATCCTATGCCTACATAGTTGTGTTAAAGTAATTGATCCATTAGCATTGGTAAGAGTAGTACTGTCACCTATCAGTTTTTGTAATCTGATCTTACTTAACAGTAGGTCTGCACAGTTGATGAAATTTTAATCTTGGTCACAATTTTATTTTTCCAACAATTAAATGAACATGATTGATTGAATCTGAAAATGCTTGCTTCGCAAAACAAACATAAAGAAAAAGCAGCGAACGTGCCACTAAATCAGCGCCTAACTATATGCCTCCACTCTGGACAAGTGAATAAACATCTTACATATCTGCAAATATTATTATTTAATTGACAGGAATGTAACACAATGTAAATGTGAAACTCATACCCTGCTTTAAGTGCTGCTGCAGTTTATTAAAAATATATATATATTTATTTATTTATTTTTTCTTTAGTTAATTTAGTTGAATAAAGAGGACCAATTTTAGTTTGATGCAAAGATTTGTACATTGGTACATTAGCAGAAATGTAGGACGACATGGATGTTAAAGCATTGTTATGTTTACGTGTGGCAACATTATTATGTCAGTAATTGTGATAATTATCGTGCCCATAATTGTGGAGCCCTGCTAAACAGGATAACACAACCTTTTTTTTTTTTAAATTTAACAAATATAATGAGCTATTATCTAAAAAATGAGGCGGGAAAAGCAACAATCAGTTTAATCAGTTGATGTCTTGTAAAAAATAATTGTAAAACATCCATTGCGTATGCATTCAGTTATCAGTAGGTAAGTAGTAGTAAGCCTAATATGAATTTTGCCCTTTTTTAATTCCTTTGGATGACACAATCATTGTGGCATTAGCCTAATTACATGCCAATGAAATATTAATAACATTTTACATGGCCCAAAGTCTCAGTGAGAGGTACTGCTGGGAGTTGTTTTGTATGATTAGCAGAGTGAATTGAGGGTTTCGTCAATTAAATTAAAATTAAAAGCAGTCGTGATATGTCAGATATGAGTCCAGGATTGAACTTTTTTTATTCCCCCAAAATATTAATTCTAGCTACTTGAGATATTTTGACAGCCATGCCATCTCTTTTATTCCCTGCCTCCATTGTTATCACTATTCTGTACAAGACCTTGATGTTCCCACTGAGTTTATTGTAATCAGTGCTTGAGCATATGGTCCCCATATTTTACCATCCATCTTGCTAAAAAAGGCTGTGTTTCTGACCTGGAGGAAAAAGACTAGAATATAACCAACCTGTCCTGTAACAGCCTGTGTCTGTCAGGGGCTGTATGCTAAACATGCAGTCATAATTGGCAGTGAATTGAGGAGCATTTACTAGCACAGAGGCAGATGCATTGGAACAATTCAGTGCTTAGCTGTTTCTCTACTCCCTAACAGATCTTTTCTCTTTTTTCCTTCCGTGTCTTTTTCATTTTTACCATCAGAAACACAAATCCAGCCGGTGGAGACTGTGGAAGTGACCAGTGAGGTGCCAGAGGAGGACAGGCCCTCTTCCCCTCTGGCCCAGAGCCCTCTAGCCGAGAATTCAGCAGGACCATCTGTCCCAACAAGTAGAGAAGTCAAAAGCAGGTTAAAAAAACTTTTCACTTCCCCAGAATCGCTGTTTTTGAGAAATAAAGAACCGTGCATGCATGTGTGTGAGAGACTCTGTGTGTATCTTTTTACTTTTTAAATTGTTTTTATGAATGAATAAGCACAGGTCTAGCACATACTAGATACATGCATGGATGGATTAGGTGGGAGTCATCAGCAGGTAGAGGCAGCCCTTTTCCTCCCAGGTGTCACTTTGTTAGAGGTTGCAATCAGTCTTCTGGCCTGTCTGTTCTATCGATGTTGGTGATGGAAAGCAGATCAGGAGCCTCTCCTGGGATCTTATTAACAGTACCATCTCAGCACTTAATGTGATAAATATTTGCTGCTTGCTTTATTACTCAACTTTCCAGCTCTTGGCCACTGTTCTGCTGCTTTTCTGTTTACCACTTTGTCTCCAAGATGGCTTTCTCACTTAAAATGTTGATTGTTAGCACATCCAAATATCTGTTGTATAACCGGACTTGTCTATCTGCCTTTCTTTCTTTCTTTCTTTCTTTCTTTCTTTCTTTCTTTCTTTCTTTCTTTCTTTCTTTCTTTCTTTCTTTCTTGCTTTCTTTCTTGCTTTCTTTCTTTCTAAATTACAAGGTCTGTGTTACTTAAATACATTATAATTTTTACAAGTTGTCTGCTTATAGCAGTATGTGTTTGTGAGACTGTGTGGTGATAGTCTGTCTGCTTTGCTTTGTGAGGTTTTATGTATATTGCAGCACAGACAGTCCCAGTGCCACAAGAAGGAGGCCTTAATTCATGGTGACATGTATGGCACTGTATTAAGTCACAGTAGGTATATATAATTAAACACCCTCTACCACCCATTTTCTTTCTTTTAGTGAGCGTCTCTGTGCCTTCTGTTACTGCGGTGGTCGTAGCCTTCTGGGTCAGGGGGATCTACAAGTATTCACCGTCACGTCTCAGCTTGAAGCACTCTTCAGCCACAAAGCTGATGGGAGCTCAACAGGCGATGGCAGCGATGGTGATAAAACTGCTCAGCCAAAAATGGCCGAAGAGACCACCTCAGGACAGAAGGAGAAGAAGTAAGTAGGCCTGGCTGACACTGTTGTCACAAATAGTTTGGCTGCCATCGTTGGTTAGGAATAAGACACAATCTGTAATGCTTCCTTGTCATGAGTTAATGAGCTGCAAGAAATGAAAATTTGCTAACAGCTTACTTCATTGTTCTTTTTTGTCCTTGGCTTCTATACACTGATGTTGCTGTGAAATCTTGTGAAATCTTGTGAAAGCTGTTAGTCTGATCAAAAAGATTTTCCTTTTAGTTGACTTGAATTTGTTATCCTGGTAATATGAAGCAGTAGTGGTGGTTAATATGGTCACACCTAACATACACACCCAACTGTCAGTATTCCCCAGGCCATGAGATGCCAGATCAGGCAAAAGTTACACAAGAGCCTTGTGTTTGTATGCACACAAATGCAAATCATACAAATAAAAGACCCTTCCTGCGCTCAATTGGACAACTGCCTGATTTGTTTTGGTCCTTTGAAACCAGTTGGTTGTCTCTCTGGGTTCACAGTACTGTAATGGCCAGTGACAGCATTATGGGTTTGGCAACAGGCCTAGCCAACCAGTAGCTGGTGTGCTGTTTGTGTGATTGGTCATTGAGCCCTTAGCTGTGCCTCATGGAGGCAGATGATGGAATCCAAGAGAGAAGGAAGTTATAGATATATCATAATATATCATTTAAGACTAAAAATTAAGAAGAAAAAAAGAGATTAGGAGAGAAGACCATTTCATAATTGCTAATAAAAGTGTAAGGAATAGGTTCCCATCATGTTCCCAGAAATCCCCATCTTGATTTTGGCTGTTAGTTGTTTCCTGGAAATCCTTTTAAATGTTAATGCTCCCTCTCCACGTATTCTACATCCTATGCTGCTCAATAGTTGAAGCCAGGGAGTTGGAGAAACGCATCCCTTTCAACAGATTTTATGAGACAGAACAGCCAGCCTCTTGTGCACACGCTAAAAAAGATGGCCCTCCTTCCCGTCCTCCTCCTCTTCATCCACCTCCCTCCCCCACAGCTTTTTACTTGGACAGACATTTTTCCCCCAGCTCATTCTCTGTCTTGATTTCTTTGCTTTTGTAAAAACGGCACATCATTCTCTACCTTTATGTCTCTGTCCTCAATTTATTCTCAAGTTGATTCAGGCTGTCCTTCTCTTGCATAGTGCATTTTTAAGCTGTTCTCTACGTAAAAAAAAAATCTGTGCTGAGATGACTTTTTAAAAAAAACCCTTTTTCTTTGTTCCAGTGGGTCTGAAGGCTGCGAGGATGAGCCAGACCCAGCCAGTCGATTTTGGAACGAGCTTTCTCATGTCGGCCTTCCAGAAGATCTCAACGTCCAGTCTCTCTTCGAGTCAGGTGTGGCTAATGGACTCAGCCTATTTCTACATCCCATTTTAACAGTAATTATTTGTACTTGGAGAGTTAACAAGTGTACATGCTTTATATGCTAATACTGAATTTGTCTCTGATTCAGTTATTTGTTTGTCACATCCGTCTTTAAATTGTAGGGCAATGCTGGGCACATCAGAGTTGTGCCTTGTGGTCCGACGGTGTTTGTGAGGGCGAGGGACAATCTCTGCTTAATGTGGACAGAGCCATTGACTCAGGGAGCACAAAGGTGAGTCAAGGGAGAACATCCGTGGACTAATGGGTGTTAACACCATCTTAATGTGTTGGGGCAGCAGGGGAGGGACTGATTCAGTGAAACACAACAAAGCTGATGGATCAGACTGGCTGGTAAAGGTCGGCCTGGCAGCGTGGATCTCTCAGCTGTGAAATGGAAAAGGTCACACCACTCAACAGGGCTGAGCTCTCATGGCAGCTTGGCTCCTAGCGGCAGAAGTGGTACTACTTAAAGAGCTCTGATTCTTTTTTCGCTGCCCATCGTGTGTGCTACCCATTAGTAGTGCTGCCACTTGATCTCCAAGTGGTTACTAGTACACACTCATGGAACTCAGAGAAATGGAATTGGGGTGAGGTTTTCTAGCCTGATCATCAGGTAGCTGAAATGGCACTTTGAACAGGTGTCTTAATCCAAATAAACCGTTTCCCAAAAATATACTAAAGATAAAATAGTCCAGAAAGAAGAAGTGCTACACATCAGATCTGGGCTGATTTGACAGGTATTCTTTGATGTGGCAGGTTAAAGTACAAAACAAAAAAAAACATAGGAGCGAACACCTTTCTGTGATGTGATGTGATTTTTTTTTTAACGTGAAATCAGGCATTTATAGACCATTTAAACATTACGTTTGTTAGTGTTTAAGAAATGTGTTTTAGTTGGAGAAAAGGGAGATTTTAGGCATATTTTAAGATCGCTCTTTTTCTCCGCAGCACTGTGCATACTGTAAGCGCCTTGGAGCATCCATTAAGTGCTGTGCTGAAGGATGTGCTCAACTCTATCATTACCCCTGTGCGGGGGCAGCTGGGACTTTTCAGGATATCAGAAGTCTCTCACTCTTATGCCCAGAACACATTGAATTGGCCACTCACAAATGTAAGTTCAGAAAAATTTGATGTGTCAACTCCATAGGAAAATAACATAATGTATATTTAACAAAACTAAGACTAAATTGCATTGTATAAACCTTTCTTGCCTTCTCTTTTCATTCAACTGTCCACAGTTGTAGATGATATAAATTGCGTACTATGTGATAGCCCAGGGGATCTACTGGACCAGCTCTTTTGCACCAGTTGTGGTCTGCATTACCATGGGATATGCCTGGACATGGCTGTGACCCCTCTAAGGAGGGCAGGTTGGCAGTGCCCTGAGTGCAAAGTCTGCCAGACGTGCAAGTGAGTCACTTCCCCTCTCGTCTAAATAACGGTTTTCCCTACTTTGCACTTTGTTTTTTGTCCTTTTTGTTTACTTTTTTCCTTTCTTAATTTCTGTAAAGCTACCAGGCTTCATGCTTACTGCTTGTTTGTTTACCTCTGTGGTTTGTGAGGAGCTGACTGGACGTTGTACCCTGAAGCTCAGTCTTATAACCTCTGACCTTATTTAAACAGCACAAGAGCTCTGTTTGCAACCAGGCCTGTTTGCCTGGGGTAACCACTGTCTATTGAGTATTAAATATTGCATTACCATCCTGTAGCTGCATATTTATATTTTTCAAAATATCTTGAGCTTTGCGATGCAGTTTTAGATAGTGTAATTGATTAAAGATCTTTTTACTTCAGCCAATTCATTGGCATTATGGACAGCGCAGCAACTTCTCACACCATCTTTGCACAGCTACATGCTTAAGGCTACTGTAAATCAGCTTGTCAAATGTTTCAGCATACTAGCATTTCTTTACTAACATTAAGTAATGAAAAAAATGACATCATCAGCATATAGCTATAGCTTAAACTCAGCACTGGGTATAACAGTACAACTAGCAAAACTAGTAATCAAATGTCACTTCATTTGCTAGTGTGAACAAAAGTGGTGATAGAGATGACTTTGTTTTATTTAAAGCTATTAATAAATTGGGTATGAAGCGGTCTTTCCTGTTAGCTATTTTTTTCTTTCTATTTTTTTTCTTACCTTCATCCTCCTGAACAAGGGGCTTGCGTGAAGTTTCATAATTATTTGTATAGCAATCTAACATGGAAATCTTCCTTTCATTCACACATCAGTTCTAATTTTGGCTATAATCGGCTAATATTAGCCATTTGCTATTTGTATCAACATTTGTAATGGCCCATGAAGAGCTATATTGCATATTTTTTGACCAGATGGCTCTCTGCAAATTCAGTGTTGCCGATACTCACTCAGAAACCCGCAAACACAGCACTAGGCTGATTAAAGCAAAGGTGGGTACAATATAAATGAATAAATAAATAACTACACATAAAAAATATTAGGGAAATCTGTCTACCACTGATATCATGCAGAGGACTCTTACTCCTAAAAATATTTCCAATGTTGTTAAACTTTTGATTAAGTTAATATCCTTAGACGGTGCCACCTGCTGGATTACGTTAACATTAGCTGTCAAAATACTGACAGTGTTAAGGTTTTTTGTTAGGAAGATATGATTACTTCTTTTCCTTCTTCTTTTTCTTGTCATTCTAACTCAGATTTCACAATAACTGAATATTACCATGTAAACAGTTTAGCACTTGTAATGTTCAGAGATCCACTGATCATTTGGCCAGTGACCGGAAATAATCTGTTTCTGATCAACCATGACTGGTGGCAATGGGATTTTGAATCACTTTCTGTTTTGATCTTATTAGCCTGCTACAGTCTGATGGGTCAGTGCAATTCTCTATGAATGGCTTTTTTTTTTTGTTTTTTAAACATAATTTCAACGTCAATGTAATATCCTTACAATTTATGGAAATTGGAAAGTGACCCGGACTTGAAAAGTTACTGCATTTGATTTATACTTGGATAGGAGCAAAGAACTTGTAAGCTTTTCAGAGAATTCAACTGAAGATGCAGTAGGACAGTTGAGGTCGGGTCTTGCAGGTCTTAGCAGAAGAAATGGATTACAGAAGGAAGCATAGAGCTATATCATTACAAATGACATTGTCTCATTGTATTAGACAAAAATAAATAAATAAATAAATCTCAACCCTAAAACCTTTTTACTGTCTCTTTGTAGGAATCCAGGAGAGGACACTAAAATGCTGGTGTGTGACATGTGTGACAAAGGGTACCATACCTTCTGTCTGCAACCTGTTATAGACTCTCTTCCCACCAACGGATGGAGATGTCAGGTAGGAAACAACTAATGGGTAATGTTGAAATTAAAAAAAAAAAAAAAAAATTAAACCGAAAAAAAAAACAGGCTTGTAAGTAAAAGTATTTGCACTAGATTAAAGTGTTTCAAATAACTGCATTGATTCATCTGGTGTAATCACAAAATTGAACAATACAATTAAATGGAAAAGAAATTAAGTTAGTTGGACCTTGCATATGACACCCACGAGAATGTAGCTTTTTGATGGTTTCAATTTGTGCTTTCTGTGGTTACGAATGACTCAGACCAGCTGATCATTTAAAGACTTCAGTTCAGCCTCAGCGCTGGAAGATAACACTATGTTTGTGTGAATGCTCATGCACAAATGGTTTGCTTGCCACTCAGCTGGCTGGTTAGCACACCGCCTAATATGTTTTTTTGCAGCACCAGTTTGAGTAGGGCACATCAGTAGAGACAGCGGGTGATGCAAGGTCTTTACTCTTGGTTCTCTATTTGACTCAGCACAGGGGCATTTCACCCACACACACACACAGCCTTGGCACTTGCTTCTCCGGAACACTTGCCTACATCCTATGTCCCCGCTCATGTGGTAGTTTTGTTCTGAGCATTGTCGTCTCACTCAAGTAGAAATCAATGAAAAATGAGTCATTGTTCCAGTTTCGGTGTTCTGTGAAGTTCCTGTGATGTGGCTTTAAGTATGAACACTAGAATTGTTGACTGCGTACCATAGGAAAAAGGTTTACCCGAGCTCAGAGGCTAGTTAGCCGAGTAAGCCGCTAATTTAAAGTAAGTGCATACAGTCTTGTTAAAGGCAAGTTTTAATGACTATGTCTTGTGGAAAAGAAGTGCTCACAATATAAAATCTCATTTTCAATCTTTTTTTTGTTGTTGTTGTTTCAGAAGATAGACAGAATACAAAAAATTCTACTATACCCCCACCCCCATCCCACTATACCCCCACCCCCCACCCCACTATACCCCCACCCCCATCCCACAGCAACTCAAACTACATTAATACCCCAACCTCTTAAACCCAAAGGGACATTTCTGAGGTTCCTGCTCGAAAATGACATCCTCAAAATTAATAGAGTATTTCTCTGCAATTACAAACT